GGCCGCCATCAGACACTCAGTCAACAATGGCAGTTAAAGTCATGGGTGCTCCCCCACTCCCTCGTTCCCCTCCTAGTTAGGTTGGTGAGTATGGTGAAATAATACCGGTTTGGTTAGGTTAGGTTAGGTTTAGGTAAGGTTAGGTAAGGTAAGGTTAAGTACACACTCAAAGACCCGTCAGCATCATAGGTCAAGGTCAAACATCACAAAAACACATTATTTTTGTGCACACTTTTCCTTCTGTTTTATTTAATGAGGCTGGCGTGTGGAGTGCCTGACCCACCACGACACAACAACACAACACATAAATATATTAATGGCTGCCCCTCGTGTAACGAGGATGGCCGGCCCAAGGGCCACCTTGGCGTGAATTTGTTTAAGGTGTAGAATCTGTTGCCAACACAACAACCACACCCTGAGTTAACGAGCTGCATGATCCAGTGTCAAGGAATAGTCCGAGAAGACCGGACAACTCGCCATCTGCACTGGCTAATCATTACCTCGGAATACGAACCGCAAATCGATTTCCAGGTTCCCAATTACTGCTGGGTAGACAGAGGCAAATGGCGTGAAGAAACTTGCCCATAGTTTCACCCTCCTCGGGGATCGAACCCTGGTCCGCTCGCTTGCGAGGCGAGGATGCTGACCATTACACCACAGGTCGCCACACACAACACGACACGACACTATTCGATACAACACTATAAGACACAATAGAATACAACACAACGCAACAATAAAACAACACGACACAACACGACACAACACAACACGACAGACGGCAGTGGAATTATGTAACTTTTCCTTCCTGTAACACAGCAGGAGTCAAAGGTCAGAGGTGAAACACTGCTGAGAAAAATACAATTATTTCAAGTGACATGACTTTGTGTTTTAGCCGGAGGATAATGTTGTGATATTCTGACGGGATAGCTGAGCCGACCTGACCTAACCTGACCTGACTTTCCCTAACTTAGGCTCTCTTGGTTTAACCTAAACTATCCTAACCTAACCTAACCTAACTTAACTTAACCTATCCTAATCAAACCTAACTTAACCTATCCTAATCTAACCTAACATAATCCGAACTGACCTAACATGATCAAATTTAGTCTAAATTAACTTATCCTGACCTTATGACCTGACCTGACCTGACTTACTCACCTATATACTTCCTTCACTACTTTCTGCACCACATCCCACCTTCTGACCTCTAACCTCCCACCCACCCTCCTCACTACCACCTCCTCACCTCCATCATCCCTCACCATCCTAACCCCTTCCTCACCCCACCATCTCACCTCCCCTAATCACCCCATCCCCCTTATCTCCCCAGCCTCCTACCTCCTCAACTCCCCAACCTCACCTCTCCCACCTGCCTCATCCTCGCAATAAACTTAAGAGAGTCTCCACGAAAGGCGAAGGAAATATGCCCATCTCGCCTTCACCGTCGCCGGCAGGAGTCAAGGTGTGCGAGCAGGTACACGAGAAGCTCCTAACAACATTACCTAATTACTGAACTCTTAAGGAAGGCTGAGGTTGTTTCTGTCCTGGCTACTGTGGGGGTTTATGGGTGTTGGGGTGGGGGGGTGGGAATGTGGGTGGGAGTGTGGGTGGGGGTATGGGTGGGGAGACAGGAGGGTGTTGGGGGAGGGGGTGTGCTGGGAGTGGTGAGGATTTTTTGGGGGAGATGAGGAAGGTGGTGGTGGGAGGTTGAGGGTGGGATGGTGGTGAGTAGGAGTGGGGAATGGGGATCTGTGTGTGGTGTATGGGGAAAGAGGAAGGGGGAGAGGGAAGGAAAAGGAAGGAAAGAGAGGGAGGGAAGGAAGGAGAATGAATGAGTTTATCTTTCTGTCTCACACTTTTTTGCCTCCTCTCAGTTATCTCCCAACATATCTCTTTTTTTTCTCTTCCTTCTTCTCTTGCTAAGTCTCTCATTTTCTTCTTTTTTTGCTACGTCAATGCAGTCTCTCTCTCTCTCTCTCTCTCTCTCTCTCTCTCTCTCTCTCGTTATCTCCACCTCCCGCCTGGTCTAACACAGCGACCGTCGGCAGCGGGAGAAAAACACGACTCGGCTTATATTTATTGCCGTTAGTCGTCTGTAGCGGGTGTGTAGCGGGTGTGTAGCAGGTGTGTAGGTGTTGTGTAGCGGTGTTTGACAGGTGTGTAGCAAGTGTGACATACGTGATTTGTCTTGTGTATTGTAGCTCCTGTAAAACACACACACACACACACACACACAATGTTAATACCCATCTTTTACGACTGGCGGCTTAAGCAGGCCTTGACCAACCACGGGGCGTCTCTTAGCTCCCGAGAAATATGACTTGATTATAATGAAAAATGTTATCGGTATAAATTCCTCGCCTCCATCCCTACCCTCCTCCCTTCTTCCTCCCTTCCTTCTTCCTTCCTTTTCCCTTTCCTCCTCTCTCTTTCCTTCTCCTCCTTCACCCCTCCTTCTTCATCCACTCCTCCCCTTCCCCCTCCCTCCTTCCCTTCCTCCTTTCTCCTCCTCTCTCTTCCCTTCTCCCTCCTTCATCCCCTCCTTCTTCATCCACCTCTCTCCCTTCACTCTCCCTCCTCCCGCCCTTCCTCTTCTCTTCCTTCCTTCCTCCCCCTCCTTACCTCTCTTCTTCTTTCCTTCCCTTCTCTTTCCACCTTCCTCTTTGATAATTCAGTTGATATATATTTTGCTTATCAGGTTGGTGTTATTTATGCTTTTGTTGTGTTATCATACTGTTATCACACTGCCACACTATCACACCACCACACTACCACACTGCCACACCATTACCACCACACCACCACCACACCACCACACCACCCTCTCCTGGTCACTATCTAGGTGTTGTTTCTTATCTTCTCCTGCTTCTTTCAACTCTTTCTTCCTCTCTCTCTCCTCTCTCTCTCTCTCTCTCTCTTTGCTACTTCCTTGATTCTCTTCCCTTTTCCTTCCCTCCTTTCATTCTAGGTGTTCATTATTCACCATTCTTCCACACCCTTGTACGCTACAGGTCAGGTACTGTGTGGGTGAGGGTGATGATGGGGGGTATGATGAGTCACCTGGGAGGTCATTAAGGGCAGGTATCGTGTTCATTACCCTGCCTCGTCCCTCCCTCCCAGCTCAAGCTACAGGTGAGAAGTCTTGTGTAGTTACTTGATCTCTCTCTCTCTCTCTCTCTCTCTCTCTCTCTCTCTCTCTCTCTCTCTCTCTCTCTCACACACTAGCCAATACAACCCCTGTCTCTCCTCCCCCTCCCCCCCAGCCACAGAGACATAACAGGGTACATATAGACGGCTATCAGTGATTTGATGGAGACTGTTGTAGGTATAGGAGACCACAAGACGATCTCCTAGGGCCCGAGGAAGTGTTGTGAGGGGTAACGGGAGGGTGAACAAGGGGCAGGAAGGACCATCGAGATGTAGGGTCAGGTAGTGGTTGCAGTCCATATAGCGTGGCGTGGCTTAGCACTGTTTTGATACCTGGTGTCTTTGGTCATATCAGTGAAGGGGAAAGTTGTTTAATCTGATGCCTGCTGAGTCGTCACGAACTATGGGGGGGGGGGTAGAGTAGAGGGGAAGGGGTAAGGAGGATTAAAGAGAGGAGAGGGGTAGGGGAGGGTGTAAAGGAGCAGGTGGAGGGAGGAGGGAAGGGGAGGGTAGTTAGAGAGGGATGAGATGGATAAAAGGGAAGGGGGTAGGGGAAAGAGGGGTGTCTTTTGGTTTGCATCTAGCCCCATGAGGTAATCTTCAGTGACTAATGTCTGTATGTGTGTTGTTGCTCTTCCTCCTCCTCCTCCTTTGTCTTCCTCCTCCTCCTCCTCTGTCTTCCTCCTCCTCCTCTTCTTCCTCAGTAACTTCCGGAAGAGTACCGCCAGTCTACAAGTTTAACTGTGTGTGTGTGTGTGTGTGTGTGTGTGTGTGTGTGTGTGTGTGTGTTTATGACATTCATGTATGGTGGTATGTATATGTATATCTTTACGTATAGTATATGTATTTTGAGATATATATCCCCTGCATGTGTATGTATGTAAATGGATCAGGGAAGGTTAGGGCAGCACTATAGGCGACGGGTCCTGGTGTGAGAGAGTGATGAACTTGGCTGCCTGAATTTATTGAAACAAACTTGTGTAAAGGGGAGGTGAGCTGGGGTCAGGTACTCCTCTCTGGGGGTGATGGGGTGATGTACTCCCTCTCTCTGGGGGTGATGGGGTCAGGTACTCCCTCTGGGGGTGATGGGGTGATGTACTCTCTCTCTCTCTCTCTCTCTCTCTCTCTCTCTCTCTCTCTCTCTCTCTCTCTCTCTCTGGTGGAGGTGAGGTACTCTCTCTCTCTCTGGGGGAGGTGCAGATCATCAGGGGACAAGATAGATGGTGGTAGGGGGTAGTGGTGGTGGTGATTGGTGGTGGTGGTGGTGGGAGGGTTGGTGGTACTAATGAGTGGTGGTGATTGGTAGTGGTGGTGGTGGAGAGATTACGTGTGTGTGTGTGTGTGTGTGTGTGTGGTGCCAAGACGTAGATCACACACACACACACACACACACACACACTGACGAAGAAGAACAAGAGGAACAAAGAAAGATGAAGAAAATAACAGAACACGAGAAATGACAACAAAAACATTTATAATTAAAAAAAATGCTAAGTTAGAAGAAAACAAACAAACAAATTAACAACAACAAAACAAATGATAAGAACAGAAATTCCTTTAAAACTCAGTTCAATATTTCAGATATCTGGTTGCCTCGTGCTGTGCTGGAGGGCTGAGGGCTGAGCCCTGGGGGCTGGGGGCTGAGGGCTGGGAAGTGACGGCTGCCTGGGGGTGTGGTGAGGACCGAGCTGAGAGGCTGGGGCTGAGGGCTGGGAAGTGACGGCTGCCTGGGTGGAGGACGAGGCAGAGAGGGCTGGCTGAGGGCTGGAAGACGGCGCCTTGGGGTGTGGTGAGGACTGAGACCAACACGGGGCTGAGGCTGGGAGACGGCTGCCGGGTGTGGTGGAGGACTAGAGCTGAGAGAGGGCTGGGGCTGAGGGTTGGGAAGTGACGGCTGCCTGGGGTGTGGTGGAGGACTGAGAGCTGAGAAAGGGCTTGGGGGCTGAGGGTTGGGAAGTGACAGCTGCCTGGGGTGTGTGGTGGAGGACTGAGAGCTGAGAGAGGGCTGGGGGCTGAGGGTTGGGAAGTGACGGCTGCCTGGGGGTGTGGTGGAGGAAGGCCGAGGGGAGACCTGCCTGGGGGTGAGCTGGAGGACTGAGAGCTGAGAGGGCGGGGCGAGAAGACGCTGCCTGGGTGGTGGAGGACTGAGAGGAGGGCTGGGGCTGAGGTTGGGAAGAGACGGCTGCCTGGGGTGTGGTGGAGGACTGAGAGCTGAGAGAGGGCTGGGGCTGAGGGTTGGGAAGTGACGGCTGCCTGGGGTGATTGCTGGAGGACTGAGAGCTGAGAGGGCTGACACGCTGCTGGGGTGGAGGACTAGAGCTGAGAGAGGGCCGGGGGCTGAGGGTTGGGAAGTGACGGCTGCCTGGGGGTGTGGTGGAGGACTGAGAGCTGAGAGAGGGCCGGGGGCTGAGGGTTGGGAAGTGACGGCTGCCTGGGGTGTGGTGGAGGACTGAGAGCTGAGAGGGGCTGGGGGCTGAGGGTTGGGAAGTGACGGTTGCCTGGGGTGATGTGCTGGAGGACTGAGAGCTGAGAGGGCTGGGGGCTGAGGGTTGGGAAGTGACGGCTGCCTGGGGGTGTGGTGGAGGACTGAGAGCTGAGAGGGCAGGCTGAGAGGTAGGGGCTAGAGGGCTGAGGGAGGTGAGGGCTGCGTTATGTACTGAAGTCTTTAACACCATGATGAAAAGTTTCACACCGCCTGACACACCGCTAATTAATTTAATAAACCCGGGGTCTCTTAGGGGAAGGGCGAGGTCTCTGGTTCTTGTTTTGGCCCCTGTGTTGTGGTGGTTGTTGTGTTGTTGTCTTGGTTGTGATGATGATGTTGTAGGTGTGGTTGTGATTGTGTTGTTGTAGGTGGTGTTGTGGTTGTGTTGTTGTAGTGTTTTCGTCAGTAACATTCAACATCCACCACCAGCACAACGTCACCACCAATCACAACATCACCAACATAACATCACCAACACAACATCACCAACACAATCTCCCAACACAACCTCCCAACACAACCTCCCCAACAATCTCCCCAACACAACATTACCAACACAACATCCCCAACACAACATCACCAACACAACATCACCAACACAACATCACCAACATAACATCACCAACACACCCAACACAACCTCCCCAACACAACATCACCAACACATCACCAACACAACATCACCAACACAACATCACCAACACAACATCACCAACACAACATCACCAACACAACATCACCAACACACCTCCCCAGCACACCCTCCCCACATCACCAACACAACATCACCAACACAACATCACCAACACAACCTCCACGTCCCAGTACCAGACTCGCATTAAAAAATCCCGTTTACAGTAAATGTCAATAAGTGAACAGGTGACGTCAGAGGGAGAGCAGTAATCGTGCAGGGTACTACACTGATGTTCTTCTGACTCCAATTTATACGTCTATTGAGGGAACGGGTCAGTGGGGTTATACTAGGTAGGAGGCTATAATAGGTAGGGGCTACATTAGGGGCAGGGGGTTAAGGCCTGGGGGTTATACTAGGTAGGGGCTATACTAGGTTGGGGGGCTACTAGGTAGGTGGTTATACTAGGTAGGTGTGGTTACACTAGTAGGTGGTTGGCATTTAGGTAGGGGCTATACTAGGTAGGGGGCTATACTAGGTAGGTGGCTATACTAGGTAAGTGGCTATATTTAGGTAGGGGGGTTATACTAGGTAGGGGGTTACATTAGGTAGGGGTTATACTAGGTAGGTGGTTATACTAGGTGGTGGGGTTATATTTAGGTAGGGTTATATTTAGGTAGGGGGGTTATACTGGTAGGGGGCTATACTAGTAGGGGCTATATTTTAGTATAAGGCTATATTTGTAAGTAGGGGCTATACTAGGCAGGAGGTTATACTAGGTAGGGGGCTATACTAGGTAGGGCTACTAGGTAAAGTTAACTACTGGAAAGGTAGCATATGTAGGAAAACGTGGAATATGTAGAGGAAGGTGAAAATACATGAAAGGTTGTGGGTGGTGAGCGGTGGGTTATGGGTGGTGGGCTGTGGGCGGTGGGTTACAGGTTGAGCAGCGATGGGGTTGTAGGTTGATGAGCGGTGGGTTGTGAACGGTGGGTTGTAGGTTGGTGAACAGTGGGTTGTGGGGTGGTGGTCATCTGTCTTTTTCATCGCCTCTATCAATGGTCCAATATTTGTTTTGTCACCTTCCGCCGCCCACCTCTGTGTTGTGTGACTCTGTGTGTGTGTGTGTGTGTGTGTGTGTGTGTGTGTGCGTGTGTGTGTGTGTGTTACTGTACTGTGAGGACGGCGTTTTGTTGTGCGTGTTTTATACATGGAAGAACACGACCTATGGCTGACCGTCTGACCACTCAAACGCTCCAACCTGAAACATTTAAGTGTCACACCTGGTCAGTACCTTTGGGAACCTGTTATTGTGTGGGACAGGACAGGTGAGGTAGGACAGGTAGGGGAGGTAGGACAGGTAGGAGAGGTAGGACAGGTAGGGGAGGTAGGACAGGTAGGGGAGGTAGGACAGGTGAGGTGAGGTAGGACAGTAGGGAGGCAGGACAGAGGGAGGTGTAGGACAGGTAGGACAGGTAGGGGAGGTAGGACAGGTAGGAGAGGTAGGACAGGTAGGGGAGGTAGGACAGGTAGGGGAGGTAGGACAGGTGAGGTGAGGTAGGACAGTGCAGGTTAGAAGTCCCTCCAGCATATTTCACCTGATAATTAAACAATATTCTAACCTGACCTGACCTGACCTGACCTAACCTAACCTAACCTAACCTAACCTAACCTAGTTGTGTTTTAGTGATAAGATGGGGGATGTGTTTACTTTGTTGAGTACACACACACACACACACACCGGCTGCAACTCTATTAATAAACCGTTTATTATTATTATTATTATTATTATTATTATTATTATTATTATTATTATTATTATTATTATTATTATTATTATTATTATTATTATTATTATTATTATTATTATTACACATACATTATAAATCCTCATCTGTGTGTTCCCGCAGATTAACTTCCTTTAAAAATTGGCGCAGACTCTCATTGGAATTCCCTGGTCGAGAAATTAAATTCCTAATGGTCGCGTAACAATTTCCTCCCTCGAGTTAATACCATCTTTTTTGTAGCTTAATGTAACCTCTTGAGAACTACTTAATGTTGTTGTAGAATTTAAGGCTTAATTAATTTGTACTTAAGTCCACCATGGCGTCATAAACAGTAGAGCTTTTATTGTTATTGTTATTTTTCGTTGTTTTATGTTTTTTGCATGATTGATGTGGTTTAAGTCCTCGTATAGTCAAGGGGGTTAAACCTGTCGTAAATCTTGGTGTGAATACGTCATCACTTGTGTCGTCATTTACGTCATCACTTGTGTCGTCATCTATGTCATCATTTGTGTCGTCATCTATGTCATCACTTGTGTCGTCATCTACGTCATCACTTGTGTCGTCGTCTATGTCATCACTTGTGCCGGTATATACGTCATCGAATTGCTTCTGGGATCTTCTCTATTTACGTCACAACTTGAGCCATCCAGTTACATGTTGGTATCTGCGTCGTTACTTACGTCATTAGTTACCCGGCCACTTATATGTCACAATCATCCGCTTACTTGCCAGTTACCTCCTTCGCTGCTATATTACGCCATCAGCTGCGTCACTGCCTACATTCCCAACCCTTTACAAAAATGGTAAAAATGTGTTGTGGCATCATTGGAATGTACCTGTCACCGCCACTAATAAAATCCTTCATCACAAACCCAAATAAACACAAACCAGTTACGGCCGCGCGCCATCATGACGTCCGGTAATTCTAGGCCAATCAGGAACATTATTATGACGTCAGATAACTTACCAGCCATTTAGGAGCGAGCATTTACCTCACGTCAAATATCCTGGCGAATCAAATATACATATCACCATGACGTTAGATATCCACCAACCAATTAGGAATAAACATAATTGTGACGTCAGATAAGTCACGGCGAATCAGGAACATATCACCCTGGCATCAAATAACCACCACAGCCAATCAAGAACATATATCATCATGACGCCAATACCTGTAAACCAATCAGATGGAGGAGGCCAAAGCGTTGCGTCTGCCCGTGGTGGTCGAGGTGTACATAGTGAAACAAATGTAAATCTATGTGTGTGTGTGTGTGTGTGTGTGTGTGTGTGTGTGCATTAATTTTTATTTATTTATCACTATCTATATCTTTATTTTCTATCATTAATCATTTTCTCTTTATCTCCTCTCCCTCTCTCTCTCTTCATCTTCCCTCCACCCCCTCCCCCTCCCCCTCCTCTCTCCCCTCACCTACGTCTGAGAGATAAATTTCTAGTCACGTTCTGGTGTTCTGTATCACGCCGTTCATCCCGTGTCGTTCTTCTCCCCTCACCTCTCCTCCTCCCCTTTCCCTCACCTTTTCTCCCTTTTCACCCACCCTCTCACCCCTTCTTTCTCCTCTCCCTTCCTTCCTCTTCCCTTTCTCCTCCTCCCTCTTCCTCACTCACCCACTCTCCCTCACCATCCCATTCTGCCACCACTCCCACCTCTACACCTCCCACTATCCCTCTCAATACCCTCTCCCACCTCCTCACCTTCCTTCCTTCACCTCCTCTCCTCTCACCTCATCGATCACTCCCTCCCTTCCTCCTCCCACCTTTATAGCCTCATTAAATTCCTGTTGGGACTGTCCCTAATGGTGCTGGTCTTTGTGTAAGTGGGTCATTATTATTATTATTATTATTATTATTTATTTATTTATTATTATTATTATTATTATTATTATTATTATTGTTATTATTATTAATACAAGTTTAACTCAGGCTGAGTCATATCGTTAAATTGGAGAGAGAGAGAGAGAGAGAGAGAGAGAGAGAGAGAGAGAGAGAGAGAGAGAGAGAGAGAGGAAAGGATCCCTATGAACTTTCGAACGCGCGCGCGCACACACACACACACACCACACCTATCATCACAAACTAGTTACCACTGTCACTCACTCCATACATGCCCTGGGGACCAAAGGACACCTCACACCGTGGCTAGAGGAGTCGTCTCCAACCCTCACTCCATGAAGGCTCACACAGATACTGTAGACTGACGGATGTTCCAAGTTTGTGAAGTTTCCAAAAAAATTCGAGACGGAAAAGAAAATGATTTGAGAGGATGTAGGGGAGGGGTGAGGGGAGGGGGAAGGAGGGGGGAGGGAGGGGAGGGGGGAGAGGGGGTGGAGGGGGAGGGGGGAAGGAGGGGGGAGGGGTGGAGGGGAGGGGGAGGGAGGGGGTGATTTTTTAGGGTATTTTTTGTTTGTTTATTTTCAGAGGGGGAGAAAATATTATTAGAATGGGGGGGGAATTTATTTTTAGTTGTAGTTGTTTTTGTTTTGATTTGGAAGAGAAAATAAAAGAAGATTACCCGAATATTAAACACTGTAGCTTATATTACTCAAGCAATTAAGTAACCTAACCTAACCTAACCTAACCAAACCTAACCAAACCAAACCTAACCTAACCTAACTTAACCTAACACCGTAAATAACATCAAAACAAAAACACAAACAACCATCCCCTCACCAATTACAACAACACAACAAGTAAACAAACACACCCACCCCACACCCCAGGTAAATCAGCAAGAGACAGGTGTAGTCATCA